TGAAAAGTGCCAAACGCAGCACGCAAATAAGAAATTATGCTTGTAAAATTAGCTCGTGTTCTGGTGAGGGATAATCAGACAAACTTTCTGCTAAGTGAAAGCCGGTATGCGGCAATTCCCTAAGGGGATCACACTACCCTCCGTGAACCCTGTGTGTCAGTGGGGGGGTCTCGTGTACATGTGGGGTTTACATTGAACCTCGGTGCCGGGTACCCCAGAGAGTCAGCCGGTTCCCTAGTTATTGATACAGAGAGCGTACTGCTGTACTCATCTGTACACTCACTGTTTCCATGGGAAAACTGCCTCTTGGAGCAGCTAGGCATCTGGCAGTGGCAGGACCTCTGTGCAGCGATCCGGCTCTCACCCAGAAGTGACGACACGAACACGAACTGTGCAGCAGTATGTCTAGACCAATCACAGCATTGTAGGGAAGGGGAGGAGACTCCCTTTTAAAGGCCAATAGCGTCTCCCACAACTTCACACCAAGCCTTCCAATATATTGCCAAAATGTAGTACAAGAAATATTCTAGTTTTATAAAAAAAATCAACCAAAGCTGCTGTCAAAAATAGACTTTGAAATGTCCTAAATCACCATCCATCTTTATCTTGTTTCCAAAAATGAGTTGAATGATATGTATTTGTTCAAACCCTTAGGATCAATAGTGTCCAGTTGACGCATCAAAAAAATTTCCTTCTGTAGGAGTAAATTTGAGCGATCCCCACCTCTCAGTAATTCTGGTATCATATCAATTCCCATGAACTTCAATGTTGGTAATCTGTGTTGGAATTGAAGATAATGTTTTGCCACAGGTTTTTCGGTTTTCCTGTCCCTGAACGCAGTCATGATGGCTGATCTATGCCATTGAATTCTGTCCCTAAGTGTAGGCCCATTTTCCACACCATCCCTACTATAAGACAATTTAAAGCTACAGCTTTAAGGTACATATTTGGAACTCAGACGATGCTCTACCGGATTTCTTTCACCTTTGCCACTAGATTACTTCTTTATAATAATGTTTTCATTGTTATCTATAGTGTATTACTGTAGTATCTTGTACTTGCAGTTACATGCATTAATTAATAATCTGGCTGTTAGGATTTGATTGGCAAAATTCTAAATTGTAAACCACCATTGTTTCTTGTCCCCTCCCACTACTCCCCCCATGCTTGCCACTCCTATCAGTAAATACCTTGATATAGCTGTTTATCTCTACTCCCTCTCTAGGCCCATTTTCCACACCATCCCTACTGCAAGCCTCTACAATTCTACTTGGCTCAACACACCCACCCGCACACCCCTCCTCCCGCCCACCCAGGTTCCCCCTTAATTTATAACATGCTCCTCCAGCTGTTTAAAATTATCACTTACCTCTTCATTCCCTCTATGCTACCAATATCTGCAACTCTCTGTTTTCTTATTTACCCATCACTCCCAAATTTCCCCTGCTACCTCTTGTCTTAAATCCCCACAGTATCCTTTAGATTGTAAGGTCACAGGCTATCTACCTATGCACTTTGTATAAAATAGCTTAAATGGCTAGATTTCAGCTTATGGGCAGGGCCCTCTCTACCTTTTGTATTTGTGTGTGTATATTGTATGTTCTCCACTAATTGTACAGCGCTGCAGAATCTGTTGGCACTTTATAAATACCAGTAATAAACTAGAAAAGCTACAATTTCTGGGCAAATTGTGTGAAGTGTTCTTGCCTCCACCTGTAGTGTACAACTGGAGTGGGCGGAGTAACTGGGTGGAGTGGCTTGAGTAACTGTTGTGTGATTGTAGTGGCTGGAGTAACTGTGGAAAGGTTGGACTGGGAATAGTAACTGTGTGGAGTGTTTGGAGTGAGTAAAGATAGTAAACATTACACTAACCAATTAATTGATCAAATTTAAAAAGTGCATGGCTTGATAGAGTGAGAAATGCATTTCAACTTTTATTTATTTACATAGCACATTTAATTGCAACGTTGTTACTCAAAGTGCTTCACAGTTACATTAAAACATACATTTATAAAAACATTAGCAGGTGTACAAAAGGCCCTGTCTATGACATCGCTTGCTGCTCCAGCCTGGCACAGGTCAGAGTATTTTGGCGGTTGCCATCTTCAAATGGTCGTATTTATAAAACTATACATCCTACAGCAGAGCTTTATATTGTGAGAATCACAAGACCCAGACCTACAGAGTATGTCTCTGAAATATTAAAAATGAAGGCACAGTCGCAGTTTAGAAATTGCCCTTCAAATTTTAGCTGGCTAGAGTGGAGTTTCAATGAATGTCAATGGACAGCATGAGTTGCAAACAAATGGTCATATTGTGAAAACTATCAGGACTATGGCTTAGCCGTGGACATTTTTAGTGGCAGCAGGTATAGCTGAACGTTTTGATATAAGATTTTTGTAGGTGGGCTTGGAAATTAGGGAGTGGTGGCAGTTTAGAAATCATGTCCTGATTTTTCAGCTTTTGCCAGCTCCCACTCTAGTTTTGAACATTTTGCCATTCATTCCTATGGGACCAATTTCACCACAAGAACGACGATATTCCATGAACCATTCGGCGAAACGTTCCACAAATTAATAGCAATCCAATCGGGAAAAATCGGCACGTTTCAGTATATTTCTGCCTATGTAGTGTAAAAACTGTGGGAGGAGTTAGGGTGGTAAATTTGGCTATAATAATAATAATAATAATAATGATAATAATAATATATATGTGAGATAACATTAAGTGGTCTTGCTATGCAAGAACACTTAATAATAATATATATGTGATATAACATTAAGTGGTCTTGCTATGGAAGAACACTTAATAATAATAATAATAATAATAATAATATATATGTGAGATAACACTAGGTGGTCTTGCTATTAATAAATAATAAATAAATAAGTGTAATATCTGTTTTTTCCATGTAGAATAAACCACAGGGGCAGGAAATCAGGTATATGACAGGGTCAGATTGACATGTGATGTAATGGGAAATGGTTTAGCGCTTGCCTGTATGTGGATGTGCATCTGTAGCATCCCTTCTTCCTTATTTTGATCGGAAGGAGTTTTAGATGGATGGTGATTTAGGACATTTTAAAGTCTATTTTTGACATCAGCTTTGGTTAATTTTTTTTAATAAAACTAGAATATTTCTTGTACTACATTTTGGACTTATATAAGTATTAATATATTGTCTTACATTTGTTGTAAATTTTTCTTACATGTTTTCTTTATTTTTGGACCGCATGCCACATTGTTATTTGGTAGTTTTTTGCAGTTAGCATATTACTTATGGTTGTGACTATATTTGCCATATATATGTACAGTGGTGATGGTATCTTGACCCACATTATTAATTTTTTCTCTTGTCCTCTCTATTTTCTCTTTTTTTATTTATTTTCTTCCCTTTCACACTACACTCTTAGCACATATTTCTTACACGGAAGTTACACATTTACTTTAGTTTATTACAACAGTTTTATCTATGTTTGCTTGTTTGTCAATAACACTCTCCACGTTTGCTCACTTTTTTTTTTTTTTGCTTATTCCATAGTCTTGTACACACTTTTTTACACTTTTGCTCCTATCTGGTCTCTTGGATATACAGTTGCAAGAAAAAGTATCTGAACCCTTTGGAATGATATGGATTTCTGCACAAATTGGTCATAAAATGTGATCTGATCATCATATAAGTCACAACAATAGACAATCACAGTCTGCTTAAACTAATAACACACAAAGAATGAAATGTTGCCATGTTTTTATTGAACACACCATGTAAACATTCACAGTGCAGGTGGAAAAAGTATGTGAACCCTTGGATTTAATAACTGGTTGAACCTCCTTTGGCAGCAATAACTTCAACCAAACGTTTCCTGTAGTTGCAGATCAGACGTGCACAACGGTCAGGAGTAATTCTTGACCATTCCTCTTTATAGAACTGTTTCAGTTCAGCAATATTCTTGGGATGTCTGGTGTGAATCGCTTTCTTGAAGTCATGCCACAGCATCTCAATCGGGTTGAGGTCAGGACTCTGACTGGCCCACTTCAGAAGGCGTCTTTTCTTCTGTTTAAGCCATTCTGTTGTTGATTTACTTCTATGCTTTGGGTCATTGTCATGTTGCAACACCCATCTTCTGTTGAGCTTCAGCTGGTAGACAGATGGCCTTAAGTTCTCCTGCAAAATGTCTTGATAAACTTTGGAATTCATTTTTCCTTTGAGGATAGCAATCCGTCCAGGCGCTGAGGCAGCAAAGCAGCCCCAAACCATGATGCCCCTACCACCATACTTCACAGTTGGGATGAGGTTTTGATGTTGGTGTGCTGTGCCTTTTTTTCAACACACATAGTGTTGTGTGTTTCTTCCAAACAACTCATCTGTCCACAGAATATTTTGCCAGTACTGCTGTGGAACATCCAGGTGCTCTTGTGCAAACTGTAAATGTGCAGCAATGTTTTGTTTGGACAGCAGTGGCTTCCTCTGTGGTATCCTCCCATGAAATCCATTCTTGTTTAGTGTTTTACGTATTGTAGATTCCCTAACAGGGATGTTAGCATTTGCCAGTGACTTTTATAAGTCTTTAGCAGACACTCTAGGATTCTTCTTCACCTCATTGAGCAGTCTGCGCTGTGCTCTTGCAGTCATCTTTACAGGACGGCCACTCCTAGGGAGAGTAGCAGCAGTGCTGAACTTTCTCCATTTATAGACAATTTGTCTTACCGTGGACTGATGAACAGCAAGGTTTTTGGAGATACTTTTATAACCCTTTCCAGCTTTATGCAAGTCAACAATTCTTAATCGTAGGTCTTCTGAGAGCTCTTTTGTGCGAGGCATCATTCACATCAGGCAATGCTTCTTGTGAAAAGCAAACCCAGAACTGGTTTGTGTTTTTTATAGGGTAGGGCAGCTGTAGCCAACACCTCCAATCTCATCTCATTGATTGGACTCCAGTTGGCTGACATCTCACTCCAATTAGCTCTGGGAGATGTCATTAGTTCACATACTTTTTCCACCTGCACTGTGAATGTTTACATAGTGTGTTCAATAAAAACATAGCAACATTTCATTCTTTGTGTGTTATTAGTTTAAGCAGACTGTGATTGTCTATTGTTGTGACTTATATGATGATCAGATCACATTTTATGACCAATTTGTGCAGAAATCCATATCATTCCAAAGGGTTCACATACTTTTTCTTGCAACTGTATTTCCTATATATATACATATCTGGTACTACATGTATCATATCTCCAGCTCTCTATGCTCTGTGCCTTTAATCTGTCCACTGTGTTGGTTTTCACAGTACTCCACTACTCTTTATGAGGTGGGGGATCCGGTTCCTATGGTTACCATACACAGCCATCACGGCATTCCTTCACGCATGACGTCACTACACACTGCGCACACATCAACGCATGCGCACTCTACCGTCACACTTCCGGGTAAGTCACTCATTTTTTATTTGTTATATATTGAGGCACTGTACTAGTTATTATTAATCTTGATAAAGACCCAGGAGGGTCGAAACGTTGATTCTCTCAAAACACACTTTGAAAAAATCCTGTGGAGTGATCCGTTCATTCATTGCTTTCTCTTGCTCTATATATATATTTGTGTTAGGGGCACGAAGGCCATATAGAGTGATAGTGAGAAAATTAGGAATAGCGTAATTAAGAAAGAAAAAAAGTCCACAATGCGATAGGCCTTTAAATAAAGAGGGCAAAAAGAAGAGATACATGCCAAAATATTTAATACAATCAACAATCAATATAAATGCTTATTTACAATGTCATTTTGATAAAAGTTTAATGTTCTTGTTCCGTGAATAGGCTGAGGACTTCCAGCAACCTAATGTTTTAATAATGTAGACTGGTATATTCCTGCTTGATGCTGCAGATGCCGCACCTATTCTGAAAGAGTGACCATAATAATTGGTAGGGTTAATACCTAGTCTCATGATTAATGTCCTGACGTATAGCATAAATTTAGCTGTTGTAAGAACTGACCCGTGTAGTGATAGTAAAAATTGTGAAGGGTGGTTGCAAGGGGAGAGTAAGTAGGAATCTAATACTCTTACCAGGCACCATTTGTTTTGAGTAGGGTGGTATGGAACATCTACCTGCTGACCCTCTTGACTTGTTTTCATGTGGGGTATGGAAATCATGTAATGGTCTGAATGTTTAGTGATAGGAGAACATCTGAGATAATACTGAATGTTAGTTGTGGTTGTAGTGGTGAATTTGCATGGCCTAAGAAAGCACTAAAATGCCAGGTACATAGCAGTCTTAATAACTAGATTGGTTTGCGATTCAAAGGGGCCAGAGTGCATCAGTTCTGATAGTGATTGAAATAAGTGATTATGGATAGGCAATCTCTTTTGTGTTTGTGTGCTGGATTTCTGAATGCCTTAAAGTATTGTTTTAATTTGGTATGATGACATGAAACTAGGATTGCTGGGCCATTGATTTAGCATATGATGCTGTATACCGGTGAGATATAACTTGATGGTATTGTGTGATAATTTAAGTTTGACGTGGCAAAAAGAAGCAAGCCCTACCAAAGATGTCATAACATATGAGTCAGTAATATTACCTATTGAACAGGACAAATGCCCTATCATATGCTTACTTAATTTTCTTCCATTTGGGAGTTAAATCACTTGGCAGAAAGAATGGTATCGTATATATCAATGTATTTTGTATACACTCATAAATAAAATATCAGAGACACGGGATGTGAAAACAAGCATAATAATCAGAATAAGGCACGAAGAAATGGAAAATAAATATGTGGACCAGAACATAAGACCACAGATGGAGATGGGTCTAGAATATAAAGCTTCTTATCTTGTTATATTGAATAGTATAAAACTGGAAACTTTCCCATGACAAATTATCCGACAGGGGCTTACTTCACCAGTTGCTCCAGTTGCTTTTAATGGCTCACTCTAAGAGCCTCCAGATAGAATTAATATATGTGTTTGATGAAAGGTAATATGGTGCCGATGAATATACTCCTTTGTAAAAAATTTTGAAAGACCTACTACTAGAAAATTAAAAAATGAAGACATTATGGAGCTCTATGTCCAAGGCTCGAGTCCTGCAGGAACGCATGGGAACAGCGATCCTACACTTTTTTTAGAGCAGGAACGCCGTTCCTGTTTGTGGTCCTGCAGGCACTCAGGGGGAGGCAAAAAATGCTGCCCTCAAATGCCTGTCATGGGGGGGCCAAGAGGTGGCCTGATGGCCACCTGATGGACCCCCCTTGGGGGCGCCTGTCTCACTGTCAGATGCGGAAAGGGAGCTATGGCCTTTCTGCTCTACTCTCTATCGTGCCGTTTGCTGATGCCAGGAGCCGGAATATGACGTTATATTCGGGCTCCCTGCATCAGTAGACAGCCCGTGCGGCTAGAGGGAGCAGAGAGGACACAGCTCCCTTGCCGCGTCTGAAAGCAAGACAGGCGCCCGCCGCACTGAAGCCCCACTGGACTCTAGGGACAGGTCCACGCCAGCTCTCCAGGTAGGGAGGCTGGGTGTATATATTGTTAAACATTTTTAAAAATAGGAATAATTTGTGTGTATGTGTTTGTGTCTGTGAGTGTGTATGTCTGTGTGTGTCTGTGAGTGTGTGTGTTTGTGTGTGTCTGTGAGAGTGTGTGTGTGTGTGTGCGTCTGTGAGAGTGTGTATGTGTGCGTCTGTGAGTGTATTTGTGTGTGTCTGTGAGTGTATGTATGTGTGTGTGTGTGTATCTGTGTATCTGTGTGTGTGTGTGTCTGTGAGTGTGTGTCTGTGAGTGTGTGTCTGTGTATGAGTTTATGTGTGTGTGTGTGTCTGTGTGTGAGTGTATGTGTGTGCTTCTGTGAGTGTGTATGTGTATGACTGTGAGTGTGTGTGTGTCTGTGAGTGTATGTGTGTGTCTGAGTGTGTGTGTGTGTGTGTGTGTATGTGTGTGTCTGAGTGTGTGTGTATGTGTGCACCTCTCAGTGTGTGTGCACATGTTTATATATGCATACAAGTGTATTTTTGTTGGGGTGGAAGGGGGAGTGGAACTTGGGTGAGTTCCCACATTTTATGCCCCAGGACTTGACCCCTGTCTATGCTGTCTATGTCCTTTACTAATTGTCATAATCACGGGCAACTGAATAAAAAAGAAAGTTCACTAGAATTTTATAAAAGCCTAAAAGTTCAAGTACCCAATACTTTACCACCACGTACAGACAGAATTCTCAGTTTTAGTAAATACCTTGTCAACTCTTTTCAGTAACATATTTTCAATGGCTAGAGGTATCTAGAACCCATGTCCAGGATTCAATATACAAAATGAAGACCTGCGCTCATACTCCTAGTGGCAGCATCAACTATAGTAAACATCAAATGGCCACTGGATTGATACTAAAAACCCTCTGATTATTAAAATATGCATAGGGTTTTGGGATAGTGCCCAGTAGCGTTTTTTTTTTCCAGCTTGAAACATAGACAATCCTAACATCTAGCTCATTGTAATCATCAGTTTGATAATCAAATGTTAAATATAGCTCATCTATACACCTGACACCTTGTACATTCCAAAACAAACAATTAAAACTATTATTCAGCTTCAAAGACAATGTGCTTCCTGTGCCTTGTCTAATATACACAAATGACTCTGTAAATTCATAGCACTGACCCACGCATCTCATGGAAAACATTTACATGCATTCAAGGATAATACACAATGTTTCAAAGCTATTTATGCTGAATATGAAAATACTGTACAAGGGAATGCTTATTTACGGAAATATGCTGTATCCTATCTTCAATAACTGTAATAATGATACTGCTCACATTTTCTATTGCACAAACATTTTATGCAGTGATCTGCGCAGAGATTACTGCTGAAGTGACTACCTTACATGAACGTACAATCTCATTTTATTGTGCCCGAAGCACAAAAAGATAAAGTACTTGCACAAAGCCACAAGGAGCTTACAATGTATCTAAGACAAGATCCTCACAAGTCAAGGTCTCTCCTCTTACTGAGAGGCCACTGCTTTCTCTCACTTTCAGAATATCTGATTATACAGCAAAATATACAGGAATATACAGTAACAGCAGCAGAAAAATGAACTAGAAAATGAACTTTGTGTACCCTAACATATTTAATTCCTGTAGACGTAATAATGTTCAATGTTCAATGGCTACCATAATTAAATAATAACTTGAAATTATAACTCTACCGAAGTGACTTAACAACATATGCATTATTTACATATTTCAGTAATGTTTCTTTATAGCTTTTGTGTTTATAAAGAACCTTTCAGAGTAATTATATAGTAGGAATACCACTCACAAATAATTAGCAGCAATGCAAGAATTGACACAGAGCTGGCTTTTGTAGGCTAAGTACTGAGTGATGTTTTTAAGAAGCGGTCAGAAACAGAGGATGACATGGTGCTAGAAGACTGGGTGAGGTGGTGTCACGTAATCAACCTCACCTTGTGGTGTTGATAATAGGAATTGCCTTCCTAGCAGTGATGGAGGTGCCGTTCAATGATCCGGCGCTGGTATACCTGACTGTTGCAGCACATCTGTGGATGCCGGCCGCTGCGGATGCACATCGCCTTATAGCCCCACATCCACCCGCGGTAATGACGGTGTTAACGTGTGTGTGACGTCATGTAACAGAAGCGCACGCACGTTTATGGGTAAAAGGCCGGTTACGGCCAATCGGACCTGCAAGATGGTTATTTAAACTAATTTCTCCTTCCACTCATTGCCCTGTCGTGGTTTCCCTTAGTTGGTGATTTGAGAGTGTGTTCCTGAGCGTTTATTTCTGATTATTGACTTTGGCTTCGTTCTGACTTCCTTGTATTCTGGTATCCTTGACTTTTGGCTTTCCCTCATTATTGTGTCTCTTTCTGTGTCCCTAACCTCAGCAAATATTCTGACTATTCTCTGGTACGTTAAGTCTGGCCATTCTAAGGCCCGGTAAGACATTGCCTTTAGTCCTAGTTGTGATATAATTCTATGTGCTGGATCAACTAGTAATCCTGACATTATGACATGGCCATAGATCCTGTAAAATTGTGTCAGCACATAACAGCTTGCGAGAGAAAGCTAGAAGAGAATGATCACCGTATGGATCAATTTGCCCAGGCTTTTGGTACGCTGTCTATGTCTTATACTAACTGTCATAATCACGGGCAACTGAGAACCTTAAGGGGACAGGTCTTAG